TAACGTACAGTATAATAGAAATAAATCAAAGATAATTTAAAATACTAAAAGATCTGTAACATTAAATTCACAGTTATAGAATACTGAACTGACGCAAATTAAAGTATATGAATGAGACTTGATAAAATTATGTCCTTCTGGAATGTGACACAGTGTAGTCTGGTCAAGAGACCACCATTTCAGATGCACCTACTGTCTCTGTCTACAGCAGTGGTTCCCAGACTGGGCTGTACCACCCCCTGGGGGGTGCTGGAAGTGAGCCCCTCTTAAGTGTGTTGTTTGCTTATTTATGCTTGAAGTGACTTCAGACTGGGTGTTGGGAAACTGGTATCACTTCATCAAGCCTATCCATCACATTAAGAATTTACTAACAGTGAACTAGTTACACAGAATTACTGACTGCTTGGACTTTGTCAATCGTTTGATATGCTATAACACATTAGAGAACACAACATTTTGAAACTGAATGTTTCTGTCCTCAGGGGAGGAGGAGAGAGACCTGCTCTTCTGGGTCCGGACCACTGAAGGTTAGCTCTTTCTAACAGATGGAAACTGATCCAGTTTCTAAATGCTGTACTCTCTAGTGTTTTTTAGAATACTGGATGATGGACAGAGTCCAAAAACCCATTAGTTCTGAGTGTTATACACCACTGTCAGAACCATTTAGAATCTAAGTGAAGTAATTAGTAAATGAGGTATCTTATTTTATTGTTATTATCTTCCTTAGTGGGTTGTGCAAACCACTATTCTGAAGAATGCACCGGGGGGTAAGTTTATGGCCAAATAAGACTAGGAACCACTGATCTACAGGGGAGAACATATATTTGAGAAGGGAAAACTAAAAGAATACACACTGAAAGGTACACAGTACAAAGCAGGGGAGGAAGAAGAGGAAGTATAATGTGTATAAAACATACCGTCAGTCACAAATCTTTTATGTTACCATTATAAAGTGAGATGTTTACAATACATGATGTGAACCAAACTGACTACAGTGGAGATCTCACAGAACATATGAGACATCTCAAAACATTCAAGGGATCCAAGGAAACTCAGGCAATCAGATATTAAAACCAAAACTAGGCGATATACATGCTACAACGCGAAATAACTTCACAGTAATTAGGAGAGACAAGTGCATGTTCTTCTACCTTGCAGATGGAAGCAGTAGATTCTCTGAAACACTGGTTCCTATCTGCTAGACCACATGCAACCACATCCCAGAAGATGGTACTCTTAAAATATGTACCTTCTTGCTGGATGGAATAGAAAATATAGAATTCTATCTTCCGATATATAACACCATTTAGTCCACTAAAAGGCAACCTATGCTGTAAGCTCTGCTTCTTCCTGCTTTGTTGCTGGGTTTTTTCTTCAGTCCAGCAGAGGAGACAACATGTTCCTCCAAAATACTGGTCAACTTTCAATGGACTATTTAGGGTTATAACCCAGAAGACAGAACTCTTCGTAACCACCACTGTGAGAACCTCGGATTGTACAGAATGGAATATGCCATATTTTCCAGAGTATAAGTATACATTTATTTTCCCCTAGATAACTATGCTTCAAATCAATGTGCATTTTATGGTCTGAAGATACAATAGTGTTTTCTCTCAAATTTTTCATTAAAATCCAAGTGTCTCTTAATATTCCAGTGCGTCTTACAATACAGAAAATATGGAATATAACACTAATGGTCTTTCCATAATATAAAATAATCCAGACTCTGAGCTGTGATACATGGCCATAAAATAATCATCACTTTATTTAAATGCACGTATATGAGTGTTATGTAATAGAACAATGCTTACAAATGAGATTTATCAATGGTGAATGCTCTGGTGTGCCTAGCAGTGCCCTGCCAGGCCACTACATCTTGAGGAACTCTATACAAAATGTTTAGCTTGGATTCTGCAGATTACACGCCACAGCATTTCTCAGCTTTGTAGGTAGGTTCACCACTTGACTAAAGGTCGCAAACTATGGCTTTGCAAACATAATCACATGAAAATGCAAGAATATGACTCTACTAATACTGCCAGGGTGCTCTGTTTCCCCTCCATATATCATGACTTCCATACCACAACCTGGCATTGAATTGCCTCTTGTCGACACATTTTGGTACAACTCTGCAGCATACACTGTCATGAAAGCCCATCCAACAGGCATTGAGTTGCTTTATGCAGACATGATAAAGCTAGCAGGCGTTTCTTTAATATTCTTGCAACTGTGCCTTTAAATAGGATAATGTTAAAGAAAATGATGTACATGGGCCCGTATGGTATTAAAACCTCATCTGGTATGGTGGGAAGTTCCCCTTTGGTTTCCCTCTCATCCGACGGCCCCTTTGGGGACCTCGCTGGAAGTTACCTCTTTGGGGATCACCTGGGCCTCCTCTCATCATCATCATGCCGCATCCTAACGGGGAGAGAAACAGGTATCAACATATATGCAGAAACATGTTCAACTATGGAAATAATAAGCATGTATACAGCTCTTGAATGTTCAAGATTGTACAGAGAAAAGATTCTGATCTGAGCTCTGATATTTCAACGTCAAACTTCAAGAATTTTCACGTAAATCTGTTCAGTGTATAAACAATGGTACATAAAATTTTGCATAAGCAGCCTTATGGAACAAGTCCAGTGTATGTATGTACGAATTTCTCACCAGCTTATGGGTACCAGAAGTATGTTGGAAGTGCATCCGCAACTTTCTAATTGTAATGCACTGGTCGAAGTCCTTAGCTAATGATGACGTACCCTTGTTCCCATAGTAGATGGAGTACAACTACTACTTCTTTCTAGAGTAGCATACAAACTATCTGACTCTTCAGAATCACAACTGGCAAACACTACCACAACCATTTTGTCAACAAAACATTTCCCCCCTCCTTTTTGTCTATGGCGAGAAAGAATATGACCACAGAACTGAATGTTTTCAATGGTTTTTTAAACACTTACTGAAAAAAGGATATGATACCGGAAAGGTAAGTGCCATATTTTAATGCAATGCACTAAGTTTGCTCATTTTATAAACTGTGATTAGTGTGAACAAATGTGGACTAGTAAATAAATTTCTCTATGCTAGTCTTGACCTAGAATTTTTCCAAATTCTCATCTTTCACTGAAAAATTCATTCTCACACACACACACATACACACACATATGCAGGAAACAATGAAATCTTAAACAATTATATTTTATCAGCAGAATACGATCACACTTATATTCTGATTGACTCATAAGGTTTGACACTGCTATAAATGCAAGATGAAACTGAACATCTCTCACATTTACAAACCATTAAATGCACCATTATTTATTTTTAATACTCTATCAACTGTCTTGTGAGATGTGATGACACATAGTCTGGTAGAGTTAGGACACTACTACCTACCAAACTATAAGATGTCACATGATCTTGATATCCGTCACTGTGACAGCTAAAACGGTCTACAAAACAATTTCTCTATGTGGTTCATATTCAGAATGTCTCTTAAGTTAGCAAGGAACACATACTGCAATATTTATGAGCTACTTATCATGCCTCAACATTCTTTATTGCTAATTTTAAAATTTAATTTGCAGGCAATACATAAGACACAAGAAAGTAGTCCCACCAGATCACTGTACTTACCTCTGCTGGAAGTGGAACCTGGCTCATTCCAAATAATGGGTGTGGGTCTCATGACTATTCGACTTCGATTTCTGAACGCACCACGTCCAGACCGTCGGGCTGTGCCTCCGTGCACTCGCCGTGGAGAGGTACTGCTCATTGCGGGCTCCACTGTTGCCTCTGCCTCACGCCCCTCTTCTATGTCTTCCACAGCCTGGGACTTCTCTCCCTCAGAACTCACCCCTGTACCACAAACATGCAACAGTACAATTACAAATTTCCTTTTTTGAAACATCTGCAAATACCCACACAAAGGCCTACAGGTTAAGCAACTAACAGCTGTGTAACTGACTCTGTTATAAAATGAAGTTAGTAGGAGTTTGTATATCTCTAGTTGGTAGTGACAGGCTATAAGCTGGATGGCCAGGGTTTGATTCTAAGCAGGGGCAAGAAATTTTTATCTTCTCCAGGGTGTCCAGACTGATTCTGTGGCCCACCCAGCCTCCTGTTCAATGGGTACTGGGGGCTCTCTCCCCAGAGGTAAAACAGCCAGGGCGTGAAGGTGACCACCCATCTCTACCTAATGCCAAAGGTCAAGAATGATGGAGCTATACCTCCACTCCACCATACCTCTTCATGGTGTCGTGCTTAATTAATTAAGCACAGGGACAGCTTTACATTTATCTTTTACAGGTTATTTCATGTTAACAAGTTTTGTAAAGAAATTTTCATTCTTCTCTGTCTTCCCACCATGCCCCATTTACTTTCACTTGTTCTTTTGACATCTCAGACTGTATACCACTAAACGAAAGGATCAGAGAATAATAAACTGGAAAGGATGCAGAAGGAAGCAGTCATGGCCTACTTTCAGATGCTATCCCAGCATTTACCCAAGGGACTGAAAAAATAAACCACAAAAACTTTCACTCAGAACAGCCAGTCTCTGAGTGATGATTTAACGCTCGTTTCCTGGGGGTAAAGCAACCAGGGCGTGAAGCTGACCACTCACCTCCAGCTTGCGCCGAGGTCAAGAAAATGTGGATCTATACATCCACTCCCACATATGTCTTCAAGGTGTAGTCCTTAATTGGTTAAGCACAGAGAAACTTCACATTTTACCTTATGAAAATTAAGCAGGATTTTAATTTTGGCCATTATTGCTGATGCATTGCTTACACTACATCCAAGAACAGCAACACATACAGACTGCATGTAGGCATGCTGCTAGACGTGGCCATAAAGTACTTCAGTACTTTATGGCTTATATTATGCTAATTTTAATGCCAACAGCATTTTGCTTATACATGTAAATGTGATCTAACTTTTAAATAATGCATGTAAAACTAAACTAAAATTTCCTTTTAAAATTGCATGCTACTGAAGACGGAAATATATGGCTGAAACATTTCAGGCTTCATGTTTGCTTACTAACCCTTTAAAGACTGAATTTCTTCACAATTTTATATTAAAATTCATTTCATACCTCACAGGAAACACATTATGTCCCCGCTAGAAAGCGCAACCAGTTAATGCTGTTTAGGGAAATAGTTTATTGTGAGAACCATAGGGAACACACAGATACACTCTGTGGGCAGAAAACTCAGTCCATGCCTCACAGGAAACACATTATGTCCCCGCTAGAAAGCCCAACCAGTTAATGCTGTTTAGGGAAATAGTTTATTGTGAGAACCATAGGGAAAACACAGGTACACTCTGTGGACAGAGAACTCAGTCCGTACCTCACAGGAAACACATTATGTCCTTGCTAGAAAGCCCAACAGGTTAATGCTGTTTAGGGAAACAGTTTCTGTTTATTGTGAGAACCATACGGAACACACACAGACACTCTGTGGGCAGAAAACTCAGTCTGTACCTCACGGGAAACACATTACATCTCCGCTACAAAGCCCAACCAGTTAATGCTGTTTAGGGAAACAGTCGCTGTTTATTGTGAGAACCAAACGGAACACACAAAATACACTCTGTGGGCAGAATGCAGAGTTTTAGTGTGTTAATGCGGGCGTTACATATTGTAGCATGTGGAAACGTTGCTAGGAAATGGCTCATATACACACATAGCAGAGGAACATGTCATGTAAGTGGTGACATCACATAATAGAAGACGCGTTGCAAGTGGCATTCTTTGTGGGTCACCTCCAAGAACTATGCATATATCTGTAGGATTTACAATGAAATTTCAATATGTCTGCCTCAGTCTGGTGTACTTAGGAAAGTTATTATCCACTACAAATTGAAAGTTATCAACTGAGAAAGATGTAATTCAGAAATAATTAATCTGCACGAATTAAACATTTATTGCGTTCTAAATTAGGAACTCACCATCTCCACCATCGTCTGCTAAGTCCAGAACATCTTCCTGCCCAGCAGCATGATCTTCAGACAATTCTCTGGGTTCACCTGATTCATCTGTTTCTGGATGTTGCAGTAAAATGGAAACAATTTAAATAATATTAATGAATACTGACAAACAAATTCAACTGAACACATGAAGCAGAGACCTTCCTGAGAAGCTGACAGCCTCCAAGTTGGCCATGAAACACCTTGCCTTGTATGTGACTCAAACTGGATTCATCAGCAATAATTAAGAAAGGTGCACATTCCTGTAGTTCCAAAAACATACACGTCAAATTTGGAGATAGTTTTATTTAATTATTCCTGAAAAATGGAACACCCTGAAACCTAGCAAATGAACTAGTCCAAACTGTTCTCTGCCCTGCTATGGCTTGCTACAGACCACTCATTACCAGCCCTCAACTCCCCAGATTCTAGCAACATACTTGCACCATTTCAAATATTTCTTGCTTCTGAATTTTTTTTTAAGTATAATCAGATACATTATTATTTTCTAGTTTAGAAATAAAGTCTGGAGGGTTAGAAAGGAAAAAGTCTCTTCATTCCTGAAACAAACTGAATGAAGAAGCACAAACAGCACATAATAAAATATAATATATGACATAACATACATAATAACCACTGCATCAGCATGCCCACACATAGCTCACGTAGTAAGGGATCGAAACCTCTGTCTGTCACTTCTCCATTGGTGTAAACGTCAAGTACCTAAGTGCTTTTTGAAAAATGTGTTTGTTTTATTTCTCCTTTTAATTAATTCTGATTACAGATTAATGTGGAGGGTAGTCTGAATACAAGGAAAGAGGGGGAAACGTACTGTCATGTGTAGGGGGTTTTTGCATGACTTATAAGATGGGTTTTGGATTGGATGTTTGGATTTATTGACACCTCAGACATTCGACTGATAACTACATGTAATACAGTACTACTGCTGATCTACACTTTAGGGTTCACCGCTACACATGCACTAGGGTTATCAATTATCACTAGTCGTATCATGGTGCAATGGATTTATAAGTCTCACTGTCACTTCAAATCACATAGTATGTCTTCTTCACACTGCCTAATTCCTTTTTTGCCATTATTCTGCAACTGCCAACTCAATTCAATTCCTCTGCTCCCAAACTCATATCCTAGTAGTCTGCATCTCGAAATTTGGTTCCACCCTTCTCAAATGTACTCTTCTTCATAACCACTTTGCACAGACCATGCAGAAACCACAACCTTTCTTTTGTTGAGAAGGCATGTTTACAGCACTCTTGCATAACAATGGAAGTTATTCGATTGTTGTTTGTGTATTCACTGCTGCCGGAATGTGTTTTCTGAGTCATTGCCTAGCAATGAACATCTATTCTGACTTCACTATTCCAGCTTTTGGGCATCATGTCACAACACCATTACATTACCAGAACAGACAAACTGTATATAACATGTTTTTTTACATTACAAACCATACAGTTTTAACTGAGCAGTACAGGAATACAGCAAGGAACACGCTTTCCCCACAGCCCACTACCCCATTTCTTACCCCTCTGATGCAGGCAGCCCTCTAGTTACAGCAAACTATATTCAAATGTGAAGTATACAGAAATAGATCTGTTACATCAATGCGGCAGTCCGGGTTCGATCCCGGAACTGGTCAAGTGGGATTTGTGGTGGACAACGTGGCGCTGGGGCAGGTTTTCTCCGAGTACTTTGCTTTCCCCTGCCAATCTTCATTCCACCAATTGCTCCACAATCAGCCTCACCTATCATCTGGGGCTGGTACAATAGGCCAGAAGTGGCCGCAGTACAAGGGACTTAGTCCCACCCCACTAGCAATAAAAAAAAGAAATGGTTACTGATCTGAAGTTAGACTTTCAAGATATGTTTTATGAAATTAATACAATTACGTACAATAAAAAATATTATACATTTGCTGATACTGGGAGAGAATGTAAAAGAAAATACCACTGTCCATGGATATGGACATCTGTAATTACTTTATTGTATCCTGTGAAAAGATGGTGGAGCATTCATACCAAGCTAGTACCTTTCCTCAAACTCCTACAGCACACCAGTTGAAAATGGTTGGTCTGGAATGTACTGTGACATAGTCTTGCTCACTTATACTGGACCACACAGGATTGCATCCAAGAACATAGGACTCTTGGATGTAATCCTGTATGGTCCAGTACAAGTGAGCAAGACTACGTCACAGATGATTCAAGACAAGCAATTTTCAACTGGTGTGCTGTAGGAGTTTGAGGAAAGGTCAAAAAGAAGGGAGAAAAATTTGAGGAATAAAAATATCATTGAGGTAAATTTTAGAAGTACTGTACATTTTTCTTAAATGGCCGGTAAGAATGAAACCAATAACAGTTTAGTAAGAAAACTATCAAATCTCTCCTTAAAAAAATGACAGTGCCCTGACAATTTTAGCGTCTTGTTCAGTGTGCTGTGAGTTGAAGAAGGTTGAAAATCTCTGTTCCATAGCTACTGCTATGAGAATCACAAATCCAACAAAGCATAGAAAATGTATAAAGGTCCTTCTTGAGGACAAGGTGGTAATTTTTCTATGATTACGTACCTGTAACATGTTGACACAAAGGAGTCTTCACTGAAAGTGAATTTCATATAATGTACAAGGGGTGGGCCTTCTTGGCCCTTGCACCGTGACCTACAGTGATCTATTGTGCTTTAAGAATTTCATATAATAGTGTGAAAATATCTCACACTTATCAAATTTTGAAGTTATCATAATTATGATAATATTAAAAACTGTGGGGAATTTCCAGCCCTTTAAAATCTAAAATGTATGCTATGTGATATACAAGTCCGAGAAATACTTTCAAGCTGTATCTTGATTTTTTCCACTTCCACCAAAGCTCTGAACATTTGTAAATTTTGCATCATCAATCACAGCAGTCACAGTACCTGCCAGCTGTGGTGGGGGCATCTCCTCCTCTGTTTCTGTGGTGGCAGCTGCTTCCTCTGTAACATGAGTCACTGTGATGGATGGTATGCTGTTTGGGCCGCCTTCTACCTGATGCTCTGGCGGTGTCTGCTCGCTGCTGTCACTTCCACCCACACTCTGACCAACCTCACTAGACATCTCCAATGTACTCAACTCACCTGCAACACGAGGGTTTGCTTGAGTGTGGAATGTGGGAGCCCGAAAGAAATTCGCCCTTTTCCAATGCTTAAACACAATGGAGCTACACTATGATGGACTGGCTACTTAAAATTTTGTGACATATTGCGCTAGGGAGGACATCCCCTCAACCGCCAGTGGTGACGTAACAACATTGGGCGCTATCGTTACTACGGTAACAGGCCAGTCAACACTCCGCCCCCTTCCCCCGCGATGACGTGGCGGGGGATGCCGCGGTTACTGCACAGCAGGAAACAACTCTAGACAGCACTGCCCAGCAACACCTGTAAACAGGCGACATGGCAACAGGGAAGCGAGGCATTTTCCGTTGTCTGGCCGAGGGTTTATAAGAGAACTGCACTGCCTAAGGAGTCAAAGAGTAGCAGCTGCCGAAGACAGTTGGAATATAGCAGCAGCCGCAGGAAGAAGACCTGAACGCGTGATCAGAAGAGTTTATGTGTGATAATCAGTGATAGTTTGTGATAACTGAGAAGATATTTGGAGAGACTTGTATAGCTCCCGCGTTATAAATATGTGAAGACTACTGAGGATAGAGTGAATAGAATAGTGTGTAGGGTTTGTAACTTGTGTAAACCCGCAACAGTGTTATAACTGATTCTAGTTATGATTTGTAGGTTGATAAACAAACAAATTAACAATCTGAACAGCATCTTCAGTAGCAAAACTTGTTACAATATTTTATGTGGAACTGTTAACATAAGATATACAGAGTGATTCAAAGTCCTGTAACCAAACTTTTCAAGATTGTCAAGGTGATAATTTGGAGCATAAGATGTATACAAACAATTATCAAATTCACCACTATGTCAGAATGACAGCATCTTGAATGCCTAGTCTTAATTTCTTACCAACTTCCAACTAGTGCTGTGGTCAAGACAATGTGGATATATACATCCACTCCCCCCATATATCTTCATGCCATACTGCCTGTTAGTGCTTCAATACTGTCACGTGTAGGATGGCATGTGCGATGAAAATGACAGTTCAGATGATTGGATTTATTACCACAATTCAGTTCAAAGCTAACAATTTCTGGTCCATAGCATTTTCTACATGCATGGCTTTCTTATATTAAAATCATATTTAACTGAATACTATTACAATCATAAGTTGTGCTGTAATCTTGGAGGTGAAGGGGGTGGGGAGGACAATCAGATCAAAATGCTATGAGGCTTTGCAGAATGTACCTTGTGGTGACACCTGGAGAGGAGTGGAAGGAACACTTCGTCCTGTTCCAGACTCTTCAAGCTGTGTCAAGTCCATGCGAGTGTCGTCCATGCCTTCTGAAGCCATCTGCGCAATTCCTAGAAACATGACAAGTTTCACACATTCCACAATAAAACATCAGTACAAGATACACAAAAGCACAGCCAAAAATAGTGAATATTTAGGTAACGTACACAAAATTTACGACTAAAATGTAGTGAAGGAAACAAGTTGTACTCCTCACCAAATACTGTTAGGACCAAATCATGGAAGGTGATACAGACAGGACATGCAGCATGCATGGGAATGTTGAGAACTGTATACAAAATTTTAATGAGAAAACTTGAATGGAGGAGGCCATTTGGAAGACTTGGCCATACTAAGTAACTAACTTCATGAAGCTGAGCCCTTCCTGAGAAGCCACCAGTTGAGCAACTACTCAAGAACTTCCCAGCATTTTATGGAATCCAAAGATTCATTTCTGTGTTCACAAGAGCCCTCCACGGGTCCCTATCCTGAGCCAGATCAATCCAGTCCATACCACCCCATCCTATCTCTCTAAGATACATTTTAATATTGTCCACCACCTACATCTTCGTCTTCCTAGTCGTCTCTTTCCTTCTGGCTTTCCCACAAATATCCGATATGTATTCCTTTTCTTCCCCATTCAGCCATACACAGAATGAAAATACAGTGAAACTCTCATTTAAGGTTTCTCTTTGGGGCCGTAGCTTTAAAGACCAAACTGAGGAAAATCTTAAACAGAGCTAATTTAACAGTGAGATTATTGACACGTGATCACTGAAATAGAAGTTAAAATGATGCTAAACCTTAAATTGAGCAATATTAAATGGAGAGCCACTGTATGATAATGTATATTAACATTTTGCAGACCTGCAATTTAAATATTTAAATCACCCTGGGGACCGGCATTTTTAAACCTACTACCCTAACTTGTGCACTGTTCACTTTAAAAATTAATATAAAATCTCCTCATTAATTTTATGAACTAAAATTTTTGGAGAACACTTACCAATGCTCCTAGAAGTGCTTGAGAGTGTGATATTTCTGGAAACATTCCCCTTTGTGAAGTGGCATTACACAGAACTTGCAAATGTAGGCAAACTGTGCAAACAACGCATTGCCTAGAAGGATGCTTTCCCTTGGAATGTTCACTCTTCACAATTTTCACGAGGGTATGTTTCCACATATCACCCGAGAGTTGCCCAGGGGGGTCCACATGAGGCCTGGGTGGGGTGGGAGTTGATGGTCCTGGTTGCACTAAGTCTGTGTCTGACTCTGGTTCTGCCGCCACCATCTGGTCTGTAGCCCATGGGGTCCGATGGAACTTGTTTCACCCCCGGATTTCAAGTAAACTGTCCCAAAGTAGGCGTTTTGTCTACTTTTCCCCATGTGACTGTCCTCACAATGTTACTACCTGCATTTTCGTCGGAACTACTGTCACTTTGACTGTCTGTGGTCACAACTCTTTGTTGTCCCCTGTCACTGCCACTGTCTGAGTCACTATCACTACACGTCTCATAAAGCACGTCTGATAGCTCATCAGAGAACAAGTCAGATATTTCTTGTTCTCCGAGAGATCGCTTGGTATTCAACCGCTTTCGTCCTTGATCCATATTGCACTTCTAACTTACTGCCTGGTACATACAGCTTGAAGACAAACAAAGTCATTTTCTTTTGGAGTGGGATAGGAAAACAGGAGGTCATGTTACTAACTACTAAGCAAACATTCCAGAGGTCTATTACGCACCAGTTATGCATCTGCGTGGCACCAGAGCAAGGTATAGTGTGTTGCAACATAACGTGTCCTAAAATCATAATATTAGTCCATGATTTATGTCAACCGTCTTCCAGTGCATACACTCATCTATCTCCTCCTCTCACTCGCACTACATGTTTCGGCACAAAAGTGCCATCTTCAGGTGCTTATTCGATTTACGCTAAACTAGTTCATTGCATGCCTTGTCGTCTTCATATTAAAATAACTAAAATATATATTTATCAT